CCTCCCCGCCCCCCCCCCAGTCTGAGAGGAGATGCTGCATGGCACCCCCGTTGCCATGGCGTTCACTTGTGACCAAACCCATTTCCACTCTCCTGGCCCCCAGGATGCTGCGGTCCCTGCTGTCGGCCCAGGGGGTCAACCCCCAGATGATCACCGTCTTCATTGATGGGTATTATGAGGTAAGATCTCCCTTGGGGGGATGGGGGGGCTCCTTGCGAGGTTGTGAATCTGTCCCAAGGGGCCGAGCCGGAGCAGGTTCGTGGGTGTGTTCCCGTTGGGCGTCTGCGTGTGACAGCGGTTGGGCTGTTGATGTGCTGAGGCCGCTGCCTGTTGTCTCTCGTCTCCGGCTTGGATCGAGAAGGGCCACGGATTTGTTTTGTACAGCACCAAGCGCGGCAGGGCCCAGAACTGGGGCTCCTGCTTCAAATAACTTTATTTTCTGCATCCTTAAAGTGCCCTGTGGCTGGAACAGGGGGCGAGAGGTCTCAGATGCCCTTTGAAGTCCCCTCTCTGACCCACTCCTGCCGAATTAGCAATCCGAACGGTCCTGGCTAGCACGTCGAGTAGGCAGCAGAGGTGGACTGAGGGGCGTGGGGAGGTGCTGTGCTGTGGGCTGGGAAGGGAGCCCCGTTCATCCTCAAACGTGAAGCACTTTCTCCCGGTCTCCGAGCTGTGAGATGAACCAGCGATTCCACAGGGACTTCACCGGGGCCAGTCTATTACATGGAGAGTGGCCAGGCATGACAGCAACGGGCGGGATTGTGTCCTAGCGATGGGGTGGCTTACACCTCTGTCTCGTCCCCGGTCCCTTTGGAGTGCCCCACAGCCCAGAGGCTAGGCCTCGTGCCCTTTCCTCTCCTGGGGTGGGATTTCACACTTCTCCCGCTCTTGCACCAAAAGCTGGGCACGGCATCTCAGCTCAGTCTTGTGCAAGAGAGAAACTTGTTGGCCGAATACTCTTTATTTGCGGGCAAACCCGACTGTCCTGCATGTGACCGGGGCTGGCCCAAGCCCTTTTGGGCTCTGTGATACATGTATTCATCCTCTCATGTGTATTACCACTGTTTTCACTGACGTCCACCACTTGATTATTTTCATGTTATTTCGCAGACAGTCATATTGTTCGAAATATGTTCCCCAAAAAAATCATGCTATTGTGAAAACATGTTAAGCGGGCACATGTTAAACGAGTAATTACTGTAGTTAGCTACTGAACCACTTTTTTTAACATCCCTTGGAAGCACTAGGTCCACGAATCCAGGTCTCACAGACCCAGTTTCTAATTCAGTGTAGACGTGCCCCATGTGGCTTTGTTGCAGGTCCTGAGGTGAAATCTTCCTTTTGTCTCTCTGTGTTTTCCCTCTTGAGCAGCCAGGTAAGAAGCCCCCAAGAAGGCTGCTCCGTTGTCAGGAAGCTAGTCCAGGCCGGGTCTGGAGTGCTGAAACTCTGCTGCCCCATAGCTCTGCATACCTGTGCCTCGCCATATTGTAGGGGGCGGGTCCAGATTCCTCACCCAGCGCCCCATGTGCATTGGACCCCTTCCCTTCCAGACCTGGGCACCCCGGTCTAAAATAACCAGATAGCACCTCCTGCCCTACCAGTCAGATTAAAGCTGGGTGAGACTCCTGGCTGGCAAGCGGTGATGTGACTTCTGAAGCGGGGGCCCTGCATAGTCCTGGCAATGATCAGACCTCCCCCGCCAGCCCCTCCAAACAACCTGCCCTAGGCTGGCCTGTCCCCACAAACCTTCTCCCAGGGTCTGTCAGCTGCAGCCTCGCCGTACGCAGCTAGATGCCAAACGTTCCTGTGGCGCTTCTTACCCCCGTAGGCCTCAAAGGGCTTCACCGTGGCCTTCGCTTGGCCTTTGTCCCCCTCGTTCGGCTGGGCAGAGGGTGCCCGACGTGCGGCAAAGGCAGTTGAGTGGCCCACGGTCACACAAGGACCAAGCCTGGGGCAGATCTCTCGGTTCCTGGCCTAGTAAGGGACTTAGGAGATGCTGCGTCTAGTGGGCATCGAACAGACACCGTGGCTGGGCCTGGCTCGTGCTGTGGGGCTGAGGATTTTCTTTCCTCCATCGCATCTAGTGTTTCCATGTGCTGCAGTGCAGTATAAAGTGTTCTCCACCACATGTGGTGATGGGGGAGTGGAGTGGAGGAAAATGAATGAAACCAGAAGTGTGGGGTTTTGTTTGGGGGAGGAGGGGAGCGAAATCCTCTTCTTTTGGACACTTGCCGCAGTGACTGATGCTTTGTGAGCGCAGATAACAAGAGCTGCATCCTGTCGCCATGGCAACAGAAGCAGGCTCCCTGGGCTCTGGGAGGAGCAGCATGCAGCATGGATGCTAGGACGGCTCAGCACTGGGCCAGGAAATGCCAGGAAATGCCACTCGCTGTGCTGCCATCTTCCTGGGGTGTCCTGGGGTGTCCTGGGGAGGAGAAGCCCTTGATACAATCTGAGTTTCCTTTCCCTGGCTACAATAGGGATTGTGGGGGAGAGGAGGAGTCTGAGATAATTAGGGGGCACTCTAATGGGCTTATTACTTGTCTGGGGAGGTGACTTTGTTTCACGCTGGAGGGCAAAGGAAGCCGATCTGTCGTATGTATGAAGCACAGCTGTGGCGTGTAGCCCTGGAATGCACCTCCCCATTCTTCACAGGGCTCTAGGCAGATGCATAAGCACTAGAGGTGAGCTGCTTCCTGTGCATCTTCCATTACACAGGCAATCTCCGTTGTACAGGTTAACCCAGAGCTGCTTCCTGTGCATCTTCCATTACACAGGCTGGGTTAGGCAATCTCCATTGTACAGGTTATCTCCTAGAACTGGAAGGGACCTTGAATGGTCATTGAGTCCAGTCCCCTGCCTTCACAGCAGGACCAAGTACCATCCCTGATAAATTTTTGCCCCAAATCCCTAAATGGCCTCCACAAGGATTGAACTCAGAACCCTGGGTTTAGCAGGCCAATGCTCAAACCACTGAGCTATCCCTCCCCCCAGCAAGCCTCATGCTTCAGGCCACAAGGTTAGGTAGGCTGAGGTTACTATGGCGTAGTTAGGCCCATGACGGGATGTTCCCCACTCTTGCCTGAAGCCTCTGCTGCCATCAGGAGACGGGGCAAAGTCCATGGCTTGTCAATCCTGCCCTCTTCTGTACAGCAGTGCGCTCATGGTCACACGGGCTGAGCATGGAGCTGCAGACAGCCGCTCCGTACCGGGGGCCGTGCGTCGAGCAAATCTCGTCTCTCTCTTTGTTTCCAGGAGCCGATGGACGTGGTGGAGCTGTTTGGCCTGAAAGGGATTCAGCACACTCCCATTAGCATTAAAAATGCTCGGGTGTCCCAGGTGAGGGTCCCTTTCCGCTCACCCCACTTAGGAAAATTCTCCCCCCTTTTCCTGGTACACTGTGCACCCCACCCATGCCGGTGGGGGGGCTTGAACCCACGGCCCGGTGCAATAAACGCATGCGTTTCCCGTGCTTGGATTAAAGCTTCGGTCCTGGAACTGGCAGCAGTAGTAGACTCCCCGCCTCAGCAGCCATGTTTGCTAACGCTCGTGTCTCTGCCCACAGCACTACAAGGCCAGTCTGACTGCAACCTTCAACCTGCATCCGGTGAGCGAGCCGCGTCTCTGCTTTCAGTGCCGGGCAGGTCCGCTCGGGAACGAGCGCCTGCAGACCCCCTCAGGAACAAGCTGGGTGCTGGCACCTCAGGACAGCAACACCTCCCCCCGCACGGGGCCCATTTATAAGAGCTGAAATTCTCATTGTGCTGCAGCACCCGGGAATGTGGTGGGGGAGAAGGAGGGAAGCAGCATGGGGGCCTTTCTGCAAGCTCTAGGAACTGCACCCCTCTGTCCGGTTTAAAAAAACAAACAGAAAATATGGACGTTTTTTTTTTTCTCGGATGGAAGGCCACTTGGGGCATTCTTTCCCTGCTGCATCTGGCGGGGGGGGAGGGTGGGGATTTAAAGGGGCAGGATCTGTGTGTGTGTGTGTGTGTGTGTGTGTGTGTGCAGCTTTTTTCTCAACAACTTTGATCCTCGGGTGTGGGGGTTTTTGTTTTGTTTTGTTCCTCAACCAATTTTTTCCTCACCATGTTTGGTATTTTTTGTGGAAGTATCTGGCAACCCTATGTCCAACCCGTCTCGCTGGAGCAATGGCTGCGGAATGGAGTCCTTTGGCAAACAAAATGGCTGCCTCTGAGGGCGCACGTGTGGTCGTGCCCCACCACGTTGGGCTTGACTCAAGGCAGGCCTGGTGCAAATAAGGTCTAGACAGTGCTTGGTCCTGCCGTGAGGGCAGGGACCTGGACTCGATGACCTCTCGAGGTCCCTTCCGGTTCTAGGATCCTAAGGTCGTCGAGGTTTGTCGGGGCTGCGAGCCTCATGGGGATGCTGCGAGACGTGTCTCTTCTGTCCGAGTCCCCTTTGTCCTGCTGACGTCTCTCGTTTCCCTCCCAGGATGCCAGGTTTGCTGTGGTACTGGAAGAAGACTTGGACATCTCCATCGACTTCTTCAGGTGAGGCTCTAACATGCTGACATCGGGTCCTCTGCTTGGTCCCACAACTTCTCTTATCGCCCAGGAGCCTAGCCACATCTGTCTGCCTCTTTTGCCCCACCAGAAACAAGTGGCTACTGGCTCTTTACTGGCAAACTGCCATCTGCAGGATGGTCCCAGGAGAGGTGGGAGCATCCTTCTGATGCTGGGATGGGGCTGACCCTGTTATCTGCAACCAAGCTCTAATTACAAAGAGGGCATGTGTCAAGACTTCCATGCCGCCTAGGTTTTTAGCTGCTAGACAGCTTCCTGGAGGGCGAGGGGTCGCTGCTGCTAAAACTCCTGGCTCTGCTGTTGACTTCCTGGGAGGGAAGGGAGAAAGTCACTGGACTGTGTCATGCCTCAGTTTTGCCCATCTGTAAAATGGACCTGGACATGTAACTGAGTATTTGAGGCTTGTTCTTTAAGTGACTTCTCACGGTAGCAAAATGCTTTGAGTGTCCTCTGGCCTCAGCTGACCTGCTTTTGCCCTGCACTGAGGCTGGCAACTGTCTTCCTCTTCCTTTTCCTGCGTCAGCTTCTCCCCAGCATCCTCTCTGGCTCGAGGGGTGGGGCTCTGCCTGGCTCGTGGTTCTGAGCAAAGAGCCTCCAGGCTGGGTGGATGCCCTTCCATTACCTCCTCTGCCCAGTTAGGGGGTGGAGGGGCTGTGCCCCATAGCAGTGGGTGGGAGAGAATCCACTTCCAGGTAAGCAGAGCCTCCTGGGGCGTGGGCTGGTTTCTTTGTCGGTGGCTGGCTCCCCTCGGTAATTATCTCCTTTCGGGGGTGATCCCCTTCCAGCTTCCTGAGCCAGTCTATCTATTTACTGGAGGAGGACGACAGCCTGTACTGCATCTCGGCCTGGAACGACCAGGTAGGTTCGTGGCCGCGTACTTCTCCCGTCTTGGGAACCCCGCGGCGCGAGGCGCGAACGGCTCGGGTGTCCCTGCACTCATTCCCCCTCCCCGCCCCAATCCATGCTCACGTGGGACCCCCTCTGTTGCCTCCACTCACCTTATGCGCCTCCCACTCCAGCTCTGCCTGGCTCCCCTGAAACGCCAATCGCTGGAGTGGAGGCATCTGCCCCGGCGCGGCGCTGTGCTCTTGCTCCCTGCTCCGGGGGGCGATCTGGTGGCAGCGAGTCAGGGCTGGAATTGGGAGAGTTTCGCGGGGCACCTGCCGGGCAGAGGGTGCCAGTTCCCCCGTATCCTCTGGCGGAGCTCACAGCCCGGTCGGGGCCGCGAGCGCATCGTGTCTGACCCCTGGGTGGCACAAGCTGGTGCTGGCGTTCAGCCTCCTGGCTCCTCTGCACCATCCCCTTGAAATGGCCCGGAAGGCGGCTTCAGGGGGCAGAGGCCGTCTGGTAGCAGGAAGGGGGCGGAGCGGGGAAGGTGAGAACGGGAAGGTTTCTAGGGGGA